ATGGTGTCGGTCGAAATCGGACGGCCGGCGTCGTCGTCGTGGAAGCGTCGGGCTCTCTGATCGGCCAAAATATTTAACCTACGATTAACCGCTCCTCTCGTACACAAAATGATTCAAGAATCAAATACCAAGAGTCAACCGTGGGGTAGACTGAGTACATATTGTACCCGAACGCTATCGCCTGCCATCCTACGTGGATACGGATACGCGTTGCACGCTTCTGTGTGCTGAATCCTCGCGCGCGCCTAACGACGCTATAATGGTAGGCACACACACACACAAACAGAGCAAGAGGAATAACGAGTGAAGAAGAAAGAGAAGAAATGGAGAGAAACAAATAATTGAGGGTGCTAAAATCAAGCGAAAGGGTTAAAATTAGAGTTTCAAAAATTTATTGAATTTCAGAAAAAATTTAAAACATATTCATGCAAGAATTAAAACACCATTGAAGAAATAAATAAAAAAGAAGAAAATGATGCAGAAGAGAAGAAAAGGCACAGAAAGGTATTGAAAAAAAAAAAAAGAAATGAAGAATCAAAAGTTGTTCGCGATGAATAGCGTTCATCGATGGTCGACTATGCGTTTTCTTTCTCGCGTTCGTATATGGTTTTATGTGTACACCTACACGCAAAACCATGTGTATCCGTGTATATTTATACGGTGGTGTAGGTGTATGTCGGTGCACAGGCGTCGGAGCAAGAGAACGGGAAAAGGAGAGGGAGAAAGAGCGAGGACAGAGATGCTGCTGACATTGCTTGAACATATTTGAGTTGCTCCGCTCATGACCAAATATTTATTTATTTGCTCGGTAATACACATTTGTATTAACCGCGTAGCACGATTCAAGGCACGTTCATTCAGATTTCTCTCGCAAATTTTGCCCCGACCCGTTGCCTGCACGACTAATTAGCGACCTACCGCCCCAAACTCTCTCTCATCCGTCTATTGCTCGCTTATTAACCCTAAAAATCAACCATCTACACGTGCCTCGGTATTTAACTTTCATTATTCGGTGGATCTTTTATCGAGCAATCTGTCATCACGAGGGGAATTGTTTTTTTTAGGAATGTTTCAGTAGGAGTTTATGGGGTAACTTTGGTGATATTGGTGGCAAATGGAAAGTTGGGTAGGTTTTAGATTTGGGTGAAATATGGACTTAGAAATTTTTCTATAGGAAGCCATTTTGCTATAGTTCTCCTAGAGACCAAGAATCCTCGTATTATACTTTCCCCTAGGTACCAATGATCCTTGCACTATACTTTCCCCTAGGGACCAAGGATTCTAGCATTATAGTTCTCCCTAGATAGCAAGGATCCTCATACTATAGTTTCCTCTAGATATCAAGTATCCTCGCCCTCTGTTTTCCCCTAGGAATAATTCTTCCTTCAATTTTCCTTTTTCCAATATAAAAAACGACGAACAGAGACTACAAAATTGCATGGTAGATATAACCCTTTCAACTGCTTCCACTTACTCAACAAACGTTCCTGCTTCCTGGTAATCCGTCCCAATTTAACGAAACACTTATCGATCCGCGTTTCGACAGGGAACTCGCGTTACACCGAAAAGTATGTTCATGCTAACGACAAGCAAACAAACCGTGCGTGTTCGATTCTCGCCGTGTAGTTGGGTAATCCACCTATCTGTCCGTATATCTACCTCTTTTCCTCCTCTTCTTTTTTTTTATTCACAGAACAAAATAACACCTGCGAAGATAGCCGTCACCATTGCTGTTGGTTTATTTTTATTTTATTTCGAATGAAAACGAGTCGAAATCGTCGTCGAACGATTCCATTTTATTTGGAAACAAAACCAAATTCAATCCTCCCATTTTTTGGCACAGAATTTTACCAAATTGCTAAAGTGTCTTTTTAATATTAAAAAAAGGAAAAATCCTTAGATAATTTTGATCGAAACCATTTTTCACAGATTACTCGCAGTTAGATTCTCGGGAATTAACCAACGTCGATACTGTTAACATACCTTCGTATTTACTCGCAATTCCACCGATGGCCGATAATGGGTCCTCGACCCCTTTCAGATAAAAAGAAAAAAAGCACAAGCTCACATCATCTTACAAACGATCGTGGATCGCGACATCCACTGCTAATCGTCGAGATACCGCGGGAATAGTTTTCACCGATAATTAATCGATGAAAAAAACCGGTCTGTTTGCCACCGACCTACATTACACTGTGATAATAACGCTCTTACGTGACTGCACCGGATCGCAATCGTTTTCAGAACGTGGCTCAACGAGAACGATAATATTTGACCAACGGGGGTTGCCAGGTAGGGGTTTTCTTTTCAAACGATGCTGTTCTTTGAACCTGTTCCTCTTCTTCTCTTATATTAGTACGTCTCTGTTCTCGTATATCAAGTTGTAAAATTGATCATTGAAATTAACCCTTCTTCAAATTATGGGGGATGAAATGGTCTCACAAATATTTAAATTAAGTCTTTAATTGATATCATTTTTTGTAAAAGTCACAAAGCAAATTTCACAACAAACCATCTATGTATGTGAATAAGGGTTGAAAATATTTAATTCAATCACAAAAGGGTTGATCGTAGAATAACAAATGAATGCAGTATTATTTTATAATAAAAATTCACAAGCATCAGACTGCCAAAATTCAACGACCATCGTGTGCCTGGTAAAGAAATCAATCTTCCAGACGCATCCTTCATCCCTGCACGTTCACCGCTTATAAACAGGCATCGAGTATTTGCCGAGGAATAGAAAATTGACTCGCGGGTGGAAATTCAACGTTTCGAGGGGGTTCGGGGCCGTGGGTGGTTGCAAGAATTTCGTCGCCTTCCAGTCGTGTCGAGTGTGCTCTCGGTGTTGGGTGGCTGGAGGGGGTGAAATCACGTTTCCGGAACGGTGGGTAGACGCGTTCGACGATTTCCGAATGTTTCCCCGGAAATTCTTGCCTCGCTTGCCGGGTTCAACACGCTTCCGTTGGTTTGTACATACCGTCGCGTCTCCCTTTGTCCGTCGGGGTTGAATTTGCACGCACCCCTTCCACAGAATCGTGCTCGTTTTCGCGTCTGATCGACGCGAACGAAAGCTACTCGTTGCGCCTCTTTATTTCTCCTCTGTTCCTGTCGTACGAATCCTGGATATTCTTTACGTTTCCTGTAATTTCCCATTTCACCCTGCTCTTTGGCTAATTACGGATATAAAATTCCATCAAACTATTCAAAAAATCATCACTCGATTTCAAGATGAAATAATATCCTCCACCCCGGAAGGGGGATGTTTTTAAAGGCAACAAATAAAACCAAGGCCTGTCTAAATATACTTTGGAATCAGGAGACCGGAATCGAGCAACCCTTACTTACAGAATCAACCACCAACAAATAAATAAAAAGCCTCCAATCGATTTCATTCCCTCGTTTCTTCTCTCTAAGAAAATATCCCATTTTTCTTGCTCTATGATTCATTTCAAAATTGAAAAAGGGGTGGTTCCATTTCTCAAGTTCAAAGCGTTGAATAATTTCCAGTTCTTCGTCCACAGACGCGATCGTTGTCTTATCAATAATTACTCTTCCACCCTTTCCACCCCTATCCGTGGAAACATGGCGTCGCGACGTTCGCTTGATTACAGCCAGCCAAATGGACGAACGAGTCCTGGAGGAGGACGTGTGTGGGGGGTAAAAGGGATGATAACGATGTCCAGGAAAACGATAGGGGGGTGGTGGTTGCGAGGCTAGCGGTAACTCAAGGGTGGGAGAAGAATACGAACAAAGAGTGAAAGAGAGACGAGAAGGGTGAAAAGGAACCACCCACAGAGCAGAGTCCGACAAAGGCTCGGCCACTTGTCCGATCTCTTGGATCTACGCAAATAGACGCCCACTACGTCGGCTTTTAACGTTCAACGGGTTCCTACATCTGCCTTGATCTCTTTCCAATTTTTTCGGAAATTTTGCAAATTTTAAATACGTCAAATCGAAATGGAAAATTAAAAAAACGAAACATACTGCATTGTTCGAAAGATGTTTTGAAAAGGAAATAGGAAAAAGCTCGACGAGCGAAGAGGCAAGTTAAGGCATCGGCATTGATTGGTTTGTTTGCGAAGAACACACAAACCAATACACGAGAAGTCGACTCGACTGGAGAGAGAGGGAGAGAGAGAACGGAACACGCCGACGGAACGCAGCGTGCTAATATTGGCGCGGAAATTACGTAAAACAAAGGAAGCGTGCCGGAACTCCGTGTCTCTCGACAAATCGGCCAATCGATCTTCGCCCTTCGCTCGGCGAAACTTTCCAATGAGAAATCGAACGTGCCGATACCTCGCGAGAGTTGTTCCGATCATTTCAAATCGTTCAGACTCGTCTAAAAATGATCTACTTTTCGAGTAATTAAATTTAAAAACTCGACTCCTTCGAAAAACCCCCGTCGAAACCCTTTTCGAATACTCGAAGTCACCATTTTCAATTCTTACGGGCCAAAGGACGAGCCCTTCTTTCACGAAATCCGATCCGTGCCGCAAAGGGAAGAACCGAAAAGGATGGAGGAGAGAGAAAACACGGCGGGGCCAAAAAACGGCGGCACTCGACGCGCTTTTACCTCGGTTCGGGGAAAAAGGATGAAGAGGAAAGCGGTGGCGGAAGTCGGGGCCAGTCGGTGAGAGCTTCTATCGGGGCCCTTTCGACGAAATCCTGAGCGTGCCGCTGTTTGTCGAGCGACCAGGTTCAAACACACGACCCCAGCACCGTACCTGAGCCACGAACGTTTACCGTTTACCTGAAAAAAAAAAAAAAAAAGAAAAAACCGCGGCTTTCACTGGAAAGCCGAAGAGACGCGGTTATCTTTTCGTCGTAGTCTGACGAATCGTTGCAAGATTATTCTGCTTTCTGATGTTTTATTTTTCTCCTTTGAAGTTTCAGCTTTGCGCTTGAATTAACGCTACCTAATTATCTGCGATATTAAATTAAAATTAACCCTTTACTGATTCCTTAGCTAACTTTCAATCGGTTTTTTTTTTCAGATTACAACGATTTTTCTGGCGCGAATGGGGATCGAGATGACGGGATGGCTAAGGAGACGGGCGCCAGGTAAGTCGATTTATCGTTATGCAAACAACCGCTATCATCGCGCGAAACTCTGTTTCGTATCATCGACCTAAGACTATTCCGCTAGGAATATTTGGATCAATTCGTTCTTTCTCGATCATTGGCCTCGGAGATCGTAAGTTTCTATCGCAAACCGTAGACAATATTATTAATAATATTGAGAAAATTGAAAATCTGTTGATGAATACTTATAGCATTTAATGAGACGAATCGATTGATATATAATATGTGATAGATCATTGGGTTATTTTTGAAAAAAATCATCAAAAACCGTCCCGTCTACTCAGAAACTTTTACTTTCTTTTCTTCTTCCAAGACGCAGTTTACAATTTCTTATCATCAATCACGTTGATATCGCTTCTCAGATTACTTGGAAAATTTTGCATTCGGAACGGGACAAAAATTTCGAAGAAATTAAATCTTTCAAAGTTTATCTGCTCTTGACAAGATTTGCTCTTTGATAAAATATACGATTCGAATCAAAACAGCATTCCATTTTGAAAGGGTTAAAGACATCGTGTGTACAATAGAAACGCATCTTACCGGAAATGCGCCACCAAACAGGAGCGTGAAAAGAGCAAGGATTACCAACGATAGGACTCCGTTAATAGACCTGTTTGCGCGTCATGAGAATCCACGTTTGAAATGCGGGGGTAGGGGTGGCTTACGAGAAATTCGGGCCAACTGTATAGCGAGGGTGTTCAATGAGGATCCGGCTTAAGGATCGCGGCGTTTAACGCGAAGCGCCAGGACCAACCCCTGTGGCGCGACACCCGTCAATAAAACACCCCATGAAATGCTAACTATACGCGTTGCGGCCTGCACCCTTCGTACCGTGCACTTACACCCCCTTTTTCTAGGGGCTCTGTCTGTCTCTGGTTGGAGCTGATCGATACACAAGTATTTCGCGATCGATTTCAACCTGGTCCAGCCACCCTTAAACAATTATTTGGACCAATTGTTTATAAATTTAAATTTTGGGTGGATGAAGATGATGAATTGGTGTTTCTATTTTTTTATTTTAATTTCAATTGATTAACCCTTAGTGACCTAGACTTGTAAAACATCCCCAATAGTATTTCTTCTAAAGTTGGATCTACCGATTTTTAAACTAAAGAGTGTTATACACCAGAAAATAATATTTAAATTATTTTTATCTTAGTTTCGAAAATTCTTCCTCCTTCGAATTTTGCAATTTTCTATTTCCCGTAACCCCGGAACGGAATAACCACCCCGCTCGTAAAGGCAGTATTAACAGTTGCAACAAAGACTTGATTGAAAGTTCGAAACCAAGACACAGTTGTCGGACCGGGTGCGTTTCGATGTTGATCGCGGATGAGTCGAGGAAAGAAGGGGTGCAAGGTACGTGTAAAAGGGGATCCCAGAGGATTGGCCAGGGAATTAGCAGGAATATAGCAGCATTTAGTAGAGCGGACGCAGAGAATCCATCGAATCGAATGTGACCGCCCTTGTTTGTTGAACGCGCATATACATACGGGACATTTTTCCACGCGAGCAATGATCTCGTTATTTGTTTCCAGTCGTAAGGGGTGAGTCTCCCTTTGCGTTTCTTCCACGCGTTGATTTTCATGAACCGAAGAAGATTTATTAAGTCGAATGATTTCAAAACATGGATAGTCTGAAATAATTTCATCGCATAGATGAAATATTACAAAATGGCACTTATGGTACATCAATTTAAAGCTTAAAGTACACTGAAAATTACTACATAAAGTTTTTATAAATATTCTGACTACAAAATGGATGAATCAACCCCTTCACTAATTAATATTATCCATTAACGAATGTCTTATTTTTATGAAACCTTTATATATTAATGTTCTTCAAGTCTTAAACTTCAAATTGATGCGCGACAAGTGTTATTTCGCGATACTTTTATGTCATCATCGAAGCTTCGTTTCACCGCAAGTTTCGCTAAACGACGAATTAATCAAACTCGCGTTTAATAATTATCGTCCACGACATTATACCGGAAGGCTGTCCGTCGAACGAGTTTCCAGCCGCCACGAAATCACCCGATTTTGCTTCGTTCGATAATTTATGCGCCCAAAGCAAACACACAATCCCCGCGTTTCGACCGGTTAAAATAATTCCGTTGCCGGTGATTATTTAGAGGCCCGGGTCCGGGCCAGGATTCGCCAATCGAACTGTGAACGAGGACGATCGTTAAAAACATCCTTGTTTACATTTAATAACGACCGGCCGTCTGTTCCCGGGATTTTAATCGGCCTCGTTAACGGTAATTATTCCTAATCAATCCAACGCTCGATTTGTTTTAATTCCTCGCTCCTCTACCCGATCGAACGTGATGACGTTCGAAACGCTTTTTCATTTTATTCCAATGGGACACGCGAAAGATGATTCAACCTGTTAATCGGGTCACGCTCTTTTATCTCTCTTTGAAAAAAAGATGATCGATTTTTCTTTGTATGATTGATTGAAAAGTAGAAAGAAAAATGGGCCAATTTGAAAAAACTTCCCTTGCATAATTATTCTAACAGAATTATCTAATTTTTTTCACTTGAAATTTGGTCACATCTATTTTATTAATTAACGGGATACGATGATGTATTAAAAGTGACGGATGAAACATGATAATAATTTATGGAATGACCGAATGGATTCACCTTTGAACGATCATAATTCTAGAGGACGCGTTATCGTGTTAGAACCGGGTCCACTCGCGTTCCAGAACAGGGTGAAATCTATTATCGTGGAAGTGACCGTCGTGTCAGAAAGTCTTGATGGATGAGCGGTGATTAATTATATAATGTCCAACCCTCCCTGTAACCGGTGGTACGTCGGCTTTTCCCGATGGTAAACATAGCAGACTGATCTCTCTCTCTTTCCATGTTGTCTCGATTTCTGACCAAGGAGAACCGCGAACCATTCGAATTGACGTATTAATTTTCTAAAGTGGATAACACGAGGCGGTATCGTTCACCGATGAAGGGAGGATCGATTGAGAATCCTCGTTAATTTCGATAATGGAGACCGACGGTGGATTTTTCGCTATTCCCTCCCTACTTACCGCAGCTCCAATGTTTGATCGTTGAACCGTGTTTGAATTATGCGTTCGAATATTTGAAATTTAAAATTGTATCGTGGCTCGTGAAAATTTCAGATAAACTGATATTTCGTGGAACGCCTTGAAATTATTCTCCCCAAAAATTAATTTTTGTTATAATTGCCATCGTACCATTTCAATTATGCAATTATATCGATAGATTGCACTGTGATTCGTCGAGATTTCAAATGCATCCTCTTGGAAATCGTTTAACTTTTAATTTGATCCGAAAATAGTAACGAAATCATGGAAACAACCGATCTCATGGCTGGGTCCGTTCGACACGCACGCGAGCAACGTGCCGTACAACGCGTAGTGTGGATTTACGAGACAATGATCAAGAGATGACCGTGGTCCACTGCAATTACGGAAATGGTTACTCGAGGCAATCAGGTTAAACTGGCAAATTGCGATCGATCGTCCTTTAACCGTGCAAGGAACTTCGCAAACAAAAGATCCCCAGAATCTCGTACATTTTCACAAAAAGCTTAAATTATTAAAATTATTATACCATTGCAAAAAATTTCTAACCTGACGTCTATAATTAAATTTGTCAAATTCATTAGAGGGATGAAAATTTTTAATTTATGAATGTTGAATAGATGAATTGATCTTGTACGAAATTGAAAATGATACATAGAATGTTAGTCGTCTAGAAATGGCGATGCTGTGGTGAAACGTGCCCGTCGGTGTAAAGCACGGATTTATGCGAGGATAACCATGGGATGACCATGGTCAGCAATCATTACGTCGATGGTCGCTACAACGGATCACAATGAGCTCGTGGTAAACGCAATCGATTCGATGGTCAAGGGAAGAATTCAGAACACGATAGCTTCGTAACATTTCAATATTAATATCAAACATTTTATTCTATCGTACAATATCAGTAATTAATGCCAATTTAATCCATATTCGATAATTATTTTTCAAAAATTGGATCATTTATTTGTCTTCGGTCCATGATAACAAAACCACCCCCTACGAAAATATCCATGAAAAAGATTCTTCTCTGATCCAGCCAGTGTATAATTCTCTTCATCGGATATCGATGTAATCCACTTTTTGGTGGAGGGGTGCAGGTTCACCATACGCGTAGTAAAAATCCGTCCGAGGGGTGAAATCAGGTGTGACGGATCAAAGGCGACCGCACATGTTCGTTCTCGCGGCTGATTCTCACCCCCGGCTACCCTTAATTATGCACTGTTATCCGGTAATACGATTAAACGACTAGCGAATTGTTTTAAACGATCCTTTTTCGTTACATGCTACAGAGGGGTTGGAAACGGGGATCAAAGGATGATCGACCGAACTGTCCACGTGTTTGTTCAAGGTGCGGCAGAGAGTATGTCGTTGTAATTCGTGACGCGACTTTGTTTCGCGATTCGATTTTGTTTGTTATCGGTAAATCTAAACAAATGATCGCGATAGAAGCCATCCCCTTTGGACGGCTACCGCTCGCTGATAACGCGGAATCCGTTGCGGCCGGTATTGCAAATCGCCGAGCGAAGCTTATTCGCGCACAGCTGATTCGCAAAGCTTGCGCTTGTTACGTTCTCGAGCTTCGGCAAATATTGGCCTGGGAATGTAAGCGAGGTGTTCGACTTTTTCGGCGCGACGATTTCGTTGGGCACTTTGTGTGCTTCGATCACACTTTGTGCGTCCGAATTCCCATCAGATGGGATGGAGATGCGCTATTATGGTCATTCGGTGCTTCTTTTTTCTTCTTTCTCGTTAAATGGTACTTTGGATGCTTAATTCTTTTGTTTCAACTATGGAAAGGGAGAATTGAAGTCACAAATGTCATTTAATTTTTTTTTTTAAATCGGGGCAAATGATCCAGAATAGTATTATAATTAAATGTTGAAGCATAAGCGTTTCGTTGCACACCACC